CCTAATTTAGTCATACCGGTTTGTTGGAAGGGCACACATACCACTCTGTGCCCACACATCCTTGTTTTGTTGACAACCTAGATACAGTCACATTGGCTTCCATAGTAGGCCCTGGATAGCCTGCAGGCAGCCGATGCAAACATTTGCGGTCTTATAGCGAGGTACTATTTTGTCTTGTGGCCCGAAAATTCTGAACTTAGACCGCCCGTAAACATGCGTGCCTTCTAGCCACGTTTTAATATTTGTGAATTCTTCAGTAATTGACGTGGTCATTCCTTGTTTTAAGATAAACGAAAACGAGGGAGTCGTGGATTATGCTCTTAGAAAACGAAAGGCCCAACTCGAGGAAACGAATTTATTCGGCGAAAAGGGCTTTACAAGGTTTGTGCCCTACCACATATTCTGCATTTGTGTGCAAGTAGACTTAAACAAAAGCTTTTTTCATTGCAGCTTCAAGGGGCTTCATTTTTCGCCGAAGATGTTCCGCGCACGCCGCTTCTACCCACACAAACACAATGTAGATGGTTTCTTTGTAGCCAAGCTAAAGCGACTGGAGTAAACGTCTGGTGGCAACAAAATTGTACAGTTCTTAAATACAAAAAATAGATCGTACACATTGAAATGCATCTTATATGGGGTCTTTTTTGAGTTCATCACAGAACGCCTTCACCTCCTCTTCGGTGATAACCTGAAACAGGTGTAATAAGTCGTTAGAAGCCGCAGATTTGTTCAGTTTGCAATCACTACTTTACTTACGTGACCTTTCTCGCGTTCTCTCAGTAGGAATTCTGCAATCGCACTCTCGAGTTTGGTGATTCCTGCAGATAATTGGTTAAAAGGCGAAAATAGATATATGGATATATAAAGGCGATCGTAGAGAATTTTAGGAGTAATTGGCTACGCTCAGTGTTAGGTCCTGATAGCAGTCAACTCAGCTACGAACGGGCTAGTAACGACGTCTAAAGGCGTGTTTACAAACGTACCGCGAGCGATGTTTATTGCCGCTGAATGCGGCAGTTCGGAAAGCGCTGCGGAGATAGCTGACTCGCGCTCGGATTGTATTTCTTGGACTCGCTGTTTTCCAACTTGCATATAATGTGCTATAGAATCTTCAGGATCCAAAATAAATTCAATATCGAGGGTTTTAAGCATATTCTAAAAGGTAAAAGTTGGAGTTAGTAACATGGAAATTCGTCGAGTGAAAATGCACAACACTTACACGACAGGATTCACATGCGCATAAAGCAGACGTGCGCCAGTTTTTGGGCCAAAAAATGGGTGATGGGAATGAAAAACCACGGACAACGAGCTTCTGCAGAGTTGCGGGACTGGGAGTAGCTGTATCAACCCCACAGTTGGCCAATACTTGGGGCATCCGACATATTTCACCATTAGAATTCGAGCTTGGGTATTCCGGTGGACAGATGTCAGAGTCCCTACGAGGTTTTTTCGAAGAAGGTTCCTCATCTAGCTCAACACAGGATTCTTTTTCCTGTGAATGCATTAGGCTATAGTACAAAAGCCAAAGCAGCGGAAGCCGTTTGATGCAGTTCAAGCACGTCAGTTCCTCATAGTCGTCATTTGGAAGAAAATCTGGTGGCAGGCCTAAATGCTATAAATCGGAATATGACGCAATGAGCATTCATACGTGTGTATGAAACCAATCTTCGCATATTCCGCACTGAAACATTTCAAATTCTTCCTCGGCATCAGGATCAGGGTACGGACGGGAGCAGACACAAAAAACACCATCAAATGTTTGATCATACTTGTTTTCCACATTCACATCGTCTTTTTCCTAAAACTTCAATTTCAAATATTAAAACTCACCTCCCACAACTTGCACTCGCTAGCACCCTTAAAATTACTATTCCCACAGTCGCAACGGAAGTGTCTCTTCGTATAAAGTTCAACAACTTCGTGGTCGCAATGACACTGCAACGAACACTCATAGCACACGCCTGCGCGCTTTCCTGTTACCTCATAGCACGTTTTACAGACATACAACGCTTGTCTTTTCAGATAACCCTACAATGATCATTTTTGAATTAAGGATTCTGCATATCGCAACCATACCCGTGGAAATGTACAAGCTGGTTCTCCATCAGCTCCACCCATAATTATAACTTCTTCATCGTTGCCTGATAAAAGTAATTCATCGATTGTGACAATAGGATCGTCAGACATGATTTACTGCAGTAGAAGCAAGTGAACAGCGCACACCCAATCAAAAAACCCCAGTCACCGATTGGCACAACGGGCGAATAGAAGTCATTTAAACATGGCGGGTAACTGATTCGATCAAGTGTCTCAAAGCGTCATGAATGTCGCCAATTTGTAAAATTATTGATTAAAAAATGCTAGACTTAGGTTAAAATATGCATTATCATTTAAATAAGAATACAACGAACAGTTCAACTATTCCTCTAAATATTACGAGATAGAATAAAGGCAGCTTAAATTTTTTTTATTTTTTGACTTACTAACGACAGCACCGTGTTTATAAGAAAAAAATACCTGCAACACATTTTTAAGTGAATATTGGGGTTTAGCAGCAAGCAGCACATTTAGACGTCATTGTTCTTTAGCACATTTTTGTCCCTAAAAAATATTTCCAACTCAAAAGGACTAGCAGCTATTCCTGTCTAGTATCTCCCTATAAAGCTTGTTTCTCCTTTCTGTTAATTCTAGGTTAGATCGAAGACACGCGTGCATGGTTTGAAGTAGATTATTATAAATGTATCATCCACACGACTCCAGCATGACAATGTGGTCGAAGTCCAATGGCAAGCATTAATTGATGAGTATTCTTCTTGTAGTTAGTGTTTGTATTTTTGTTAAAATATATATTGATGTAATTAGTTACAGACTGTGCCTCTAAGGAAATGTTTAGACGACTCTTCAGATTGTCAGCTGTATGCTGTATGTTTTCTGTTTGCTCTTTTCTTTCAGAACAAACAGATGGTCAAATTTATAAACTCCTCTGAATGAACTTTCTTTCTGGTTTAATGACTGCTAATCACCACATGCCTTCGGAGAACGAAGAAAAAAGCTTGGTTGTGCTTCGCATCTTAGACAGCACGCCATGCGATGTGTCATACTACTGGCAGTCTCTTTTCACATTCCGGCATTTGAAAACCTCCCGTATCTGTAAAGTGTGAATTTAATCAGACTTTTAGTAATCCCGTCGAAGCTTCTGGAACCTTTTTCCATTCTCGCATTTTGTATTAGTGTTCTGAATGCATCTTTACTAGAAGTCAACATCCCTGACTTAGAAACCTGAGTATGCATCAATTGTCAGTACACTCTACCCAACGAGGAAGCAAGGACAATGGATATCTCCACATTAAGGCATTTTAGCGCACGTCTGTTTTACCTGTTCTTTGTCCTCAACTTCTTAACCACCATCTCGCATTCATTACGCCACACCACTGGGCCTGAGTGCATGACTGACCTCCTGACTGATATCCACCTCCTTTTGCAACATAAAATCCTTTCCTAAGATCTAGACTCCAAGTATTTTAAAACGGAAGTATAGAATACATAGAGATTCCCCCCACAGGTTTCTACCGTATGCCTGATCGTTAACGCAGAGGGTGTAAGTCTCTCCAATTTGTTCGCCGCTCTTTATTCACATTACGGTTTCGGCTCCTGGCGTGACCCAATACAGCTGCGGTCTGCGGTGACATTACTGCAAAATACCCGAGACGTAGTCTGAAAAAGACAGGTAAAATAGAGGAGGATTCAAGGACTAACCGCCAGGCAGAATAAAGTGCAAATTTGAGAGACTGGCATATGTCGGCGTTATCCAACATGTCTGGTCCTCTATATATTGCACACCATAACAGTTGTTGAATACACGAGGTCGCGTTTGACGAAGGCTGATGCAACAGAACAGGCGTTATTGATCAATCACAAGCCAATCACATCAAGCACCGTCCATCCCAGTCCACCACTTCTATGTTTCTAATTGACTGCATATCTTCCCCGCATGTCATTGCTTCCTAGAAAGACAGATGATTGACCGAGGTTGGAGTGGTCCACTATGTCATCGCCCTTATGCGCCGCAACATTTTCTGATGTCTCTTCAGATGCAGCAGTCCTAATCCCGGGCAAAGTTTATGGGTTCAGAATTCGAAACATCAAATGCACCAACACTGCAATTGCAGCTTGCATTCAGTTGTGCTCGCCTCTGTTCGGTTAGCGTTAATCAAGAGCAATGGCTGCCACCAAGGTAGAGTACGCGATCCCTAGTATAAAGAAGACTGGTGCAACAGAACAGACTTTATTGACCAAGCATAGTCCAGGAACGCGTCAGGCGCCGTCCATTAGAATCCACCACGCTGGCTACGCTGCTCATTATAAACTGCTCTATATTAGTGTCTTTCTCTGGTTAGCTGCCAATCTTCTTCGCATGCCATTGGATCACAGAGGGAGGAGTGGGTGAGGCCAGCGTGGTCCATCATGTTTGCGTCGTGATCCGTCGCCACACTGCCTCCCCCTCAGAAGTGAAGCTGTCCTCAGCTTCTGGCTTGAATCCTTCCACTTTAGTTGATATTCTGTGTTGGTAAAATATCCAGTTCGACACTCCCCGCACCCTCCATCTGGCATGATAGTGGCCCATGCGAATAGTTGACGAGGGACTTTGCTCTTGTAGACTTGCAGGAAGGACTCATCATCCATCGAAGGTC